GCCGGTCTTGTCACCTGATTGGTAAGTATTTTTTGCCAATCAGGTGATAGATCCACTGACACCCAACTATTCCAGGCAGGAGAGGTGGTGTCAGTGGAGGTGGAAGACGCTATGTGGGAAATTTGGCAACATGGTGGAATTTCTGCCAGGCTTGGATCCTGCGGCCTGATCTGGTCGACGGTCACTGGGCCCGATCTCGATGCCCCTTTGGAAATTCACGTTTATGGCACATGCAATTAGTCGTTGAGGACAAAGAAACTCGAAGAAATACAATTGCAGGATAAAAATAAGTCGACTCTCAAAAACGACTTTACTGGCTTGCGTGTCATAAACGTGCTTGCAATTTGCACTTCGGAGGTTGTCCTTGTACAAATTTCAAGCCACCCGTGTTATTCAAGACGGTCAAAATCATTACAAAGGGAAAACCAAGGTCCCGTGGGTATGCGACGGAACACCCAGAGTGCTCCGTTAAATATTGCATAACCCAGCAATCATTCAGCCCCTCAGCACGGAAAATGCGTCACACCTTAGGCTTGGGGATTTCGTAAAGCGGTTTATTCCACGAGCTCGGGGCCCTGAGGTCGCTAAGCTCGAGCTACTGTGTTCGCAGTGGTCCCACGGGGAGAAGAGGAATCTCGGCCATGTCGAGATCTCCACTAAGGATAGGGTATAAAGTTCTTCTTATTGGTTGGGGTGAGTGCTTGGAGGTGGTTGGTGTGATGCTCCTGTGTATGGCCTCGTTGATCGGTGGAGTGTCCTGATGTTTAGGAGCTCCTCCTTTGAAGAGTAGTAGCTGCGTTAGGGAATCACATATGACGTCCAGTAGGTGAATGCTCCACCTGTAGACAGTGTGGGGAGCGTAGCCATTGATCAGTGTGTCGAGAATCAGCTTTATAAGTCGTCCGATGAAGTACATATATGCCCATGCATCCTGCGCTAACGAAGACAACTGTTGCGAAAGTCTCCCAGATTCTTTTGGCTGTAGATTCTGTTATTCTTTTTAGTGAGGTTTCATCCAGGAATTTTTCCAGATGAATCAATCCCGGGTGTTCCGCAGCGTACCCACGGTTCAGCTTTCCTTTTTTCATTTCTTTTTTTTTTTTCTTGCCGTTTATACGGCTCTTCGGGTGGCTAGCAATTTGTACAAGGGACCATATCCGAAATGCAAATTGCTGGCACGTTTATGATACGCAAGTCGGTACAGCCGTTTTTGAGAGTTGGTTCCTTTCTAATCCTCTAAATGGTATCTTTCAGAGTTTTTTCGTCCTCAACGGCTAATTGCAGGTATCGTAAACATGAATTTCCAAAGGGCCCCGAGACCGGACCCAGTGGCCATTGACCAGGTCATGTCTCGGGACCCAAGCCTGGCGGAAATTCCACCACGTTGCCAAATTGTCAATTATAACGCCTTCCACCCCCACTGACACTGTCTAGTCCGCACGGACTGCGTTTCGAGCAATGGATTCATCATTCGATTGGCTTAGCCAATTACCAATCAGGTGACTAGACTGACCCCCGATTTTCCCCGGTCCGGAAAATTAGCGACGACGGAAGTCTACGAAAATTAGAAAGGCAGTTAAGATCAGAACTTTCACCAAGACACACTCAACTAAATAGAACATTACTCACTACCAAATAGAATAAATATATTGTTTGTCAAAACGCATTCCTACAATTTAATCATCCTTCTCACGCGAAATCGTGGTAAGGAATAAAACGAGTCAACGCGGTGTTGAATAATCGATTCAAGGATTTACGACCTTTGTAAGCGCGAACTGCTACGGTCCGTGCCTCATCGCGGTGTCTCGCAAACATTTATGGTCCTTCGAGCCGGATTTCAGTGATAGTGATTAGTGAAAACAACACAACATTGAGTGTGACAAACATTTAAAGACATTAACAACCACATGCAATCTTCTGCGTGAATTCAACGCAGCAAGCAACGGATCATCATTCTGACACGACAGTGTCCATCATCAAAGGGTCAATCAAGGGTCAATCGACAGAACCGCCAAACGCAACAACCAGGCTGTGCAGCAAAGGTAGGCTCAATTTTGTATCGTTAATTCCTCTTACCTTTCCCTAGCATCATTCACGATGCCAAACAAAACGCTAGATCAATCTTCGGTTCAATCTCAGTCCACCTCGCACGGAATAAGTCTCAGCTCCCTACGGCGCAAACGCGGCAACATTATCGGGCAAATCACAACCTTCATAAAATTCCTCGAGTCGCAGGAACAATCAGAACTACGAAACATACCGCGTTTGCAAACGCGCCTGAACGGTTTGAACGATGCTTGGAAGCGTTTCGACGATATCCAATTCCAGATTGAAGAATTAGACGAATCAGAAGCTCCACGTCGTTACGAAATTCAAGAGCAATATTACGACGTCATAACTCGCGCCGCGATCCTTATCGACGGAGAACGTCCAGCAATAATCGCGCGACGGACCACAGTCGAATCATCCGCGCCTACCGTCACGGCCCCTATGGCTATAAAACTGCCGGAAATGCGTCTGCCCACATTCGACGGCACAATCGAAAAATGGACGTCATATTTCGATATATTTTGCTCGATGATCGATCGCAATGACGATCTCACCCCTGTACAAAAATTACAATACTTACGATCAACAGTAGTGGGAAAGGCCGCTACATGCATACAATCCCTCAGCATCACAGACGCCAACTACGCAGACGCATTAGAATTGTTAAAAGAAAAATATGACTGCACGCGAAGGATTTTATTAAGTCACTGCGACGCAATTCGAGATATTCCCAAATTAACGAGGGACACGCCAGAAGCACTGGGCCACCTCGTTGATACCGTGAATCAGCATCTTCGGGCGTTAAAAAATCTCGGCGAAAACATCGCGTCATGGAACAGCATCCTCGTTTCAATAATTTTGTCCAAAGTAAGCTCGGACACAGCGTGGCACTGGGAACTAACAATAAAAGACAAGAAGATGCCAGCGTATACTAGCCTTCTTGAGTTTCTAGAGAAGCGAGCAAACTGCGCTCCAGCCGCGGTCTCAAAACCTCTGCCTGCACCATCAGGAAGACAACACGAAAATCATCGGAACACCAGATTCGCAGCGCCGCGAGGTCACGCCTTTGTTTCAGTGCAGACATCTCAATGCATGATTTGCAATAACAATCATGAAACGCGATATTGCGCAACTTTGAGAGCGCAACCGGTCCAAGAACGCATAAAAACCATCGAACTTGCCGATCTGTGTCCGAACTGCTTAGGAAAAAAACATCCCATTAGATTATGCCCATCAGGATCATGTCGTGTTTGCAATAAAAAACACCATACGCTATTGCATAAAACATGGCCCACGCAACAGCCCGAAAACAATACGTCGCCGTCGCCGCGGTCAAACCCTCGAACAATAGAGAACCCACCGGCCAGGTATCAACCATCGACGTCGGATTGACTAGGACAGTCGGAGACCCCAACGGAATCGAAGGTTCAAAACACCTTTATTATTAATTCCGTAACCAATGATCTTCTGGTTACGGCAAAAATCAATATCTTGGACCATAAACAGCAACCGATACAATGTCGAACGTTGATCGACACGTGTGCGACCACAAACTTTATCACAGAAGAGTTGGCAAACAAACTTGGTCATAAAAAGGTGAAATGTACCATCCCCGTTGGAGCTCTCAACACACTATCAACAGTCTCAAAATACGCGATCGCAGCCATGATACAATCTAAGATCAACAAATACGAACGCACATTAACGTTTTTAACAATTCCGCAAATATCATCACTTATACCCAATCAACCGATTGATCGCCGCGCAATTAACATCCCCAGAAACATCAAGCTAGCCGATCCAGAATTCCATCAACCAGCGCCAATCGATTTATTATTAGGTGCAGGGACAGCGCTTTCATTGCTGTGTGTGGGGCAAATTAATCTAACACCATCCGAGAGTTCAGCCTTGTATTTGCAAAAAACAAGATTCGGATGGGTAATCGGGGGGAGCGTCCCAAACTCACCTCCAACTCAACCTACTGCCTACCACGCCAACATCGCTGATCTCCAAAATGATCTCACCCGATTCTGGGAAATCGAAGAGGGTCCACAAGTTCAGCATCTGTCCGAATCGGAGAGGATCTGCGAAGAACATTTCAAAGCCAACGTCGCACGCAACGAAGAAGGAAGACACAGCGTCGCATTACCCTTCAATGATAAGATCGATAAACTGGGAGAATCGAAACGGCAAGCAATGAAACGACTTGTTTCATTAGAACGAAAGTTACAACAGAATCAATCAATCAAACAACAATATCACGCGGTCATTCAGGAATATTTGGATCTTGGACACATGTCCGAAGTCACGGTTGATAATACCGATCACCACGGATATTATTTACCGCATCACGGAGTCATAAAAACCACAAGCCAGACAACAAAGCTGAGGGTCGTATTCGACGGCTCCGCTCAGAGTAGCACAGGTGTAACATTAAACAACGCCTTACATACAGGACCGAAAATTCAGGAGGATTTACTATATATTTTATTAAGATTCCGCATTCACCGATACGTTCTTACGGGTGATATTGAAAAAATGTATAGGCAATTTCTTGTCCGCCCAGAAGACAGAAAATATCAAAGGGTTCTGTGACGCGATGCCAATGGACAGGTAAAAACATTCGAACTGAATACCATCACATTCGGATTATCATCGGCCCCATACCTAGCCATACGTTGCCTCAATAAACTGGCCGAAGATGAAGGACACCGTTATCCCAGCGCAGCAAAAATCATTCAACGTGATTTTTACGTGGACGACGCGTTGACAGGAGCCTCAACAAAGGAAGAAGCATTAAGGCTAAGAGAGGAATTAACCCTTCTCCTAAAAGACGCCGCTCTAAATATTAGACAATGGGCCTCGAATGACAGAGATTTATTACACGGTCTGGCAGAAAAAGAACTCAATCGCAATCTTGAAATTGGAGAATCTTCAACCCTCAAAACACTCGGAATATTCTGGAATTCTACAAACGACTCCATTCACTACGCGGTAAGAACGACCACACCCATAGGATGCATCACAAAGCGGACAATAAGTTCGGAAGTCGCAAAACTCTATGACCCACTGGGTCTTCTCGGTCCGGTCATCATTACTGCCAAGATACTACTTCAAAAACTCTGGACCATCAAAGTAGAGTGGGACGAATCTCTACCATCAAACATACATAACGAATGGGAAAGATATTATTTACAGTTATCACTATTGAATAACGTCACTTTCCAACGGAAAGCCGTCGTCGATTCAGCTGTAAAACTAGAGCTACATGGCTTTTGCGATGCGAGCGAAAAGGCTTACGGAGCCTGCGTGTATCTCTGCTCCATCGACGAACACGGCCGCATCCGAATTGAACTTTTGGTCGCGAAATCAAGGGTAGCTCCTCTGAAATCACACACAATCCCTCGATTGGAATTGTGCGGAGCATTGCTCCTCGTTTCGTTAGCTAAGACAGTCGAAAATGCTCTACATATCCCGATCAATCACAGCTTCCACTGGACCGATTCCACAATCGTCCTCCATTGGCTTAACACGCCTCCGAACACCTTGAAAACTTTCGTCGCCAATAGAGTGGCAGAAATTCAGGGGAAAACTAGCATTTCCAATTGGCGCCATGTCAGAACAAAAGGCAATCCTGCTGACATCATCTCGCGAGGACAAACAGCAGAAGAGTTTCTTCAGCCATCCATCTGGCACCATGGTCCACCTTGGCTTGCCAAAAATCAAACACATTGGCCAACGTGGGAAGCTCCGGTAGTAAATGACATACCCGAACAGAAGATGACCATCTGTTTGGCTACAAACGTCATCCTCGAAAGGTATTCATCGTGGGAGAAACTCACGCGCGTTGTCGCCCGTTGTTTGCGGTGGAGACCGAAACAATCTGCAAAAGGAGTTCTCACCACATCAGAATTACAACACGCGCGAAATAGATTAATCCAATTATTACAGCAACTTCATTTTTCCGACGAGCTTCAATGCTTCAATAAAGGAAGGCTCTCAGGTATAAAGGGGAAACTTCAGAAATTGAACCCGTTCATCGATAAGGAGGGGATCCTGCGGATAGGAGGACGCTTAATACATTCAATGATGCCATTTACTCAAAAACATTCAATAATACTACCAAAATCATCCGCCACAGCACTCATCATTGAAGGCGAGCATAGAATACAATTACATGCAGGAACACAAGCAACACTCTACAGGAAGCGCTACTGGCCCATCGATGGGCGGAGCCAGGTTTGGAAGGTCATAAAGGATTGCGTACGCTGCTGCCGAGTTCGACCACCGCCGGTCGAATACATAATGGGTAATTTACCCGAAGCTAGAGTAACAGAATCTCGCCCGTTTACGAACGTCGGAGTGGATTATTGCGGGCCATTCTATATTAAAGAAAAACGTCATCGAAACCGCAATCGAAATAAAGCATACGTCGCCGTCTTCGTATGTTTCGCGGTGAAGGCAGTTCACCTAGAGCTAGTGAGCGATCTTACAAGCGAAGCTTTTATTGCAGCATTAAGACGATTTATAGCTCGACGAGGATTCTGTGCAAATCTCTACTCGGACAACGGTACCAATTTCGTCGGCGCTAACAATGAGCTGCGAGATCTCCGCGAACTTTTGCAATCAGATAATCACAAACAAAAGGTGCAATCGTTTCTTGCTAACCGATCCATAGAATGGCATTTTATGCCACCCCACACACCTCACTTCAGAGGACTCTGGGAGGCCGCGGTCAAGGCCTTCAAATATCATCTAAAACGCGTCGTCGGGGCTGAGCTTTTTACATTTGAAGATTTTAACACTCTCATTATAGAAATAGAATCAATCCTTAACTCTCGTCCACTCACACCTGTCTCATCCGATCCTAACGATCTCCTTGTTCTTTCACCTGGCCATTTCCTCATTGGCGACGCATTAATGAGCTTACGGGAGCGGGATTACAGAGATATTCCTCCGAATCGCTTATCGCGTTGGAAACATATCCAACGAGTAAAACAACATTTCTGGACCCGTTGGCGCCGGGAATATCTCAATGAGATGACCAGCCGCAATAAATGGGTAAAAGGCGATCACCCAATCAAGGAAGGTACAATCGTACTTCTCAAAGAGGACAACGTACCCCCAAATCAGTGGCCCCTAGGCAGAGTAATTAAAATCCACCCCGGCTCCGACGGTATTGTTCGTACGGTTACTATTAAAACGAGCACGAACGAATTTGATCGGAATGTCAATAAACTAGTCCCTCTGCCTAACCAATCTCAGGATGACAAGCCACAGCATCCAGCCTCCAAGGGGGACGACACCATTCCAAGGGAGCAGACCACCACGAAAGAATGAGAATAATATCATTCATTAATATATTGTACATATACATATAATCACATTTGATACATCAGCACACTTGTACACACACAATTCAATTTTGATCGGTAGCCTCTCAACGGGGGGAGGATGTTCCGCAGCGTACCCACGGTTCAGCTTTCCTTTTTTCTTTTCTTTTTTTTT